TGTTACGTACCTGTGAAGTTGTTGCGCAGTCCAGGAAGAAGAAGATTGCGTCCATAGCCGCGGAGCTTGACCACGAAGTGACGAAGGAGGGAGAGAGAGTGGACAGAGTGGGAGACTGAGAAAGGAGAGAGAAGCCATAGCCGAGGAGGCAAAGAGGGAGACGATAAAAAAAAAAAAAAAAAAAAAAAGGAAGAAGAGAGACAGCCGGGGTGAAAGGTGGCCAAGAAGGTGAAGGGAAGAAGAAGGTTGGTGAGGGAAAGAGAAGTCGGCAGCCATAGCTGACCGAAGGGTTGACCGGGAGAGTTGACCGGAGGTGTTGACCGACGTTGACCGGAGTTGACCGGGGGTTGACCGCAGCGTTGACCGGCGTTGACCAAGACTTTGACCAAGTTGGAGCCGGTAAAATCTCGCCAAGCCTTCAGCCTATCCCTCGCCCTATGGATGTGCACAGACCCTGTGGTACTTGTTGAGTCCAGTCTGTCTGTCTCTTCTTTCTGCATTGAGTCTCTTCTGTCTAGGTGATAGTACTCTGTGGATGAAGGATAGGGCCTTGTTGACCAAACCCACACGGGCTGAGTAGGGCTAAAAACTGTATCTGACGACTCGACTGTCCCGGAGGCCTAACCCTCCCAAGGACCTGTACTGACCGGCGGGCTGCTCGGTGTGGCACGGTAGGCCCGGAATCCGAGCTGTGGGCTGCACAACAGGCCGTCTAAGTGTTGAGAGACCTGCTGATTGCGTCGTCCTGTCTGCGACGTTAAATAATTCCTAAGGAGTTACGAGGGATCTCCTTAAATGCCTCTTGATCAGCAACAGGTCTAGTAGGGACAGCCTTAGAGTAGGTCTAGGCTAGAGACCCTAGTTGGCAGGATCCCTATCCGGATTCTGTGAGTCTTAGATTGAGTCAGTAAGTTGTCAGTCAGTGGGGTTAGAGTCTAAGTGGTGTGGAATGGAATCGTTCTGATTGTGCACCTATCACCATGGTGGACTTGCATAGTGGGAAGAGCATTAGCCCCTACACCCAGGAGCAACAAGAGAAGATGGCCGCCTTAGTGAGAGAAAATAAGGAAAGGAAGTTGAAGGCGATCACAGAGGAGCAGGCGGCAAAGAGGAAAAGATCGGAGGAAGAGATGATGAGGATTCAGCAGGAGGAGGACGAAAAGAGAAAGGCTGCCGAAGAGGAAGCAGCAGCAGAAGAAGAAAAAGAGAGAAGACATATAGAAGAGAGAGGAGAAAGTAGTGGCACGACAAAAGAGGATGCCGCAATGGAGAAAAAGATCAATGAGTGGATAGCTAATTTATCGTTGGGGGAAGATGAGGAGGCAAAGTTTTATGTGCCCCAGGATGAGAGGGATGCGTTAGCCAGTGAGCTAGCGACAATGGAGGACCCTCTGGAATGGCGAGAAAGAGAAGAAGAGAAGAAGTTGGAGTGGAAACTGAGGATGAAGAGGGAGAAGAAGAGGAGGAGGGACGAAGTCAATAGGCTGACCGAGGAGGTGGCAAAATGAGAGATTGTAGACAGGAAATGCAGGCGCAGACAGACATGTCTGCCAAGATGGATAAAGTGTTGGGTTATCTGGAAGTGTTGAGTGCGGCCTGGTTGGAGGAGCGCCAAGCCAATAGGGGTCAGGATGTGGCCCTGAGTGCGATGCGGTCAGGATTTATAGACTTCGCGCGCGATATGGTCACCCATGTTGGAGGCGAAATTAGGCGACTGAGAGACAGCATGGGGAAGTTCTGCGAGGGCGCCATCGAGGGCGCCAAAGCAATAGCCGCTGTAGAGGGTGAAGCCATGACACGTAAAAAGCCTGTCAAGCTTAAATTCCCAGATGCATACGGGGGAAAGAAGGAGGAGAATTTTGATAACTGGGAGGCAAGCGTCAATAGCTATGTGTACTTACAACACATCTTGACTGAGGAGCAAGTCCTAGTCGCCTTCCAGGCCCTTAAAGATGAAGCGGCCAGTTTTGCCAGATCTCTTTCGCGCGCAGCCAATTGTGAAAACAACATGGTTGCATATTCTAAGATCACCACCCTTCCTCAATTCTTCAAAGTCCTGAGGGAGAGATTTGCTGACCCAACGAGAGGCGTTAGAGCCTCTTACAAGTTACAGACGATCCACTCGCGACAGTGGAGGAGTGCAAGAGCACTCAAGGGCCTTATGGACGACTTGGTAGCCGTCCCGGACCATGGGGTCACTGAGCCCCAGTTGGTCCAATTGTTTTATCGTGCCATGCCAGAGCCCCTGCGTGGGCATTTCTTTGAGAGGTCTCAATAGGCCGACGCCACCTATGATGTGCTGAGTAGAGAGGTGGTCCTGTATGAGTCAAAGTCCATGCCAGTGTCCACTTTCTGGCACAAGGACTTGGACAAAGGAAAGAAGTGGAAGGGTCGTACCATCTCTGGCCAAGTGAGGGCCAAGGATCATATGATCCTCACCTTAGAAGAGGGTGGTACAGATGAGATCCCCTACAGTGAGATTGAGTGGGGATTAGAGGAGGATGACAGCAGCGTAGGGCAAGGGAGGTCTTATGCGGCTGTAGCGGTTGGACGGAGGTCGCAAGGTAGAGGAGGAGGCCAGGGCCAAAGGGGCCAGGCCATGGGAGGCCGAGGACCGGGCACACAGGGGGTTGGCGGACAAGGAAACCGCCAAGTGGGAGGTAGGGGTCAAGGTCCCCCGCCAAATCACCAGGGTTCTTGTCGGTCCCCACAGCGACGAGGTGGAAGGTCACCTCAAGGAGGGTGGCACCCAGGCTTGCCAAATGGCAGGCCCTGGGAAGACTTGGGCTTGGACCAGTGCGTATGGCAGGAACGCGTGAACTTGGGTCAGTGCGTGTTTTGTGGTGACCCGACCCACATAATTAAATTTTGTCCTTAGTACAGACAGGCCCGATGGGCTGCTCAGCAGTCAAAAGGCAGCCGCCAGTAGGGGTCACGACTGCCCCTACTTCAAGGTCATGTGGGGAAGCGAGCGCGCGCGAACAGGAAACTCCCAAACCACATGAGCCTATGGCAGAGGTTGCAGGCCCGTGCCTAGCTAGCTGTCAAGAGACTGCTTGTGTTAGCGTCTCTCTAGGCACGTCCCTCACAGGTGTGGCAGAAAAGTTGAAGGAGAGGATGGCCCAAAATGAAGAAGGAGAGTAAGGGACAATTGATCTTGGTAAATGTAGAAGTGTTTAGAAGCCGAGTAGGGGCCCTTATAGACTCAGGGGCTACCTGCAGTTACATTAGCCGTAGGGCGCTGGAGAAGTTGAGGCTAGGATTAAAAGTCCAAAAGTTGGCAGACCCCATAGTCAGTGTTCTCGCAGACAACCGCACGATACGAGTTGAGGACTACGTAGAGGGAGCCCAGTCGTACTTTCGCCTAGAGAAAGATGGGAAGGTGGAGAAAGTTCTCCATTCCTTGACTCTCCTCGTTCAGGATGACCTTCCTTTCGACATGGTGTTAGGAATGGATTGGGGAGAGGCAGCAGGGCCCACACTCCACTTAAGAGAGCATGAGTGTAGGCTCCCTAGTCCGTCAGGCGAGGTTAAGACTGCCCGCCTGTTTCATGTGTCAGGTGTAGATAACACCTTGGCACATTGTTGTCTCAGTGCTCCCGCATTCGCGCGACTAGTGAAAAAAGAGCAGTTAGAGGATCAGGTCTTCGTAGTGTATGTGAGGCTTGTCACTGAGGCTAAGGAAGGAGATAGTTCCACAGACCCAACCATTGCCAAGCTGCTGGAGGAATTCAAAGATTTGACTAAGTCGCCGATAGGAGTAGTGTCGCGACCCATCCAGCACAGGATAGAGATAGAGCCTGGCAGTAGGACTCCTAAGGGAGCAGTCTACAGGATGTCCCCTAGAGAGTTAGAGGAGCTACGCAAACAGTTAGACGAGCTCCTCGAGAAAGGTTGGATCAGGCTCAGTTTGTCTCCTTCTGGAGCACCTGTCCTGTTTGTCTCCAAGAAGGAAGGAGAGCTTCGTATGTGTATAGACTATAGGGGTTTGAATGCGATTACTGTGAAGAATGCTGAACCGCTGGATCAGGTGCAGGGTTGTAAGTATTTCTCTAAGATAGATTTGAAGTCTGGATATCATCAGATAGAGGTCCATCCTGATGACCAGTACAAGACTGCGTTCCAGATTAGATATGGGCATGCCCTTTGGACTAACCAACACGCCAGCCACCTTTCAGCATTACATGAATGATCTATTTAGACCTTGGTTAGATAAGTTTGTAGTAGTTTATCTAGATAATATATTAGTCTTCAGCAAGACCCTCCAGGAGCATCAGGGTCATTTGAGGCAGGTCTTGGAGAAGCTACGAGAGGCTAACTTCAAGATCAACGCAAAGAAGTGTGAGTGGGCCAAGACACAATTCTTGTACTTGGGCCACGTATTAGACGGAGATGGCGTTAAGCCAGAGGACAGCAAGATAGCCGCAATTAGAGATTGGCCGACACCCCCCACGTTGACTGAGTTGTGGTCGTTCCTAGGCCTAGCTAACTACTATAGGAAGTTCGTGAGGAACTTCTCCACTATCGCCGCTCCCTTGCGCAGGTTGCTAAAGAAAGAGGCAATCTGGCAATGGGACAAAGACTCTACGTCTGCGCTAAAGAAGTTAAAGCGCGCATTGATAGAGTACCCTGTCCTCAAAGTAGCTGATCCGTCTTTGCCTTTTGTCGTCACCACGGACGCAAGTCAGTATGGTATAGGCGCCGTGTTACAGCAGGATGACGACAATGACTATAGACCCGTAGAGTTCATTTCAGCGAGGATGCCCTCGGAGAAGGTAGCCACCTCGACGTACGAGAGAGAACTCTACGCTCCCAGGCAGGCTTTAGAGCACTGGAAGCATTATCTGCTTGGGAGGCACTTCAAAGTCTATTCGGACCATGAAACGCTTAGATGGCTAAAGACCCAGGCCAAGATGACACCTAAGTTGACTAGGTGGGCCGCTGAGATAGACCAATATGACTTTGAGCTCAAACCGGTCAAAGGCAAGTACAATGTAGTTGCGAATGCTCTAAGTAGAAGATCAGACTACTTTGGATATAGGGAAGGACCTGCAAGAGAAAATCAGACAGGCGTATGCGCAGGACCCTATCTATAGTGACCTCCTCAAGAGAGTTAAGGGGGCCCCAGAGACCGAACCAGACTACCGCACTACTAGGGGACTATTGTTTGAGAAGACTAATTTAGTAGACCGCCTGTGCATCCCCAACAGTGAGGAGATCCGTAGTCTAATCCTAGGGGAATGCCATGACACAGAGGGACACTTCGGTTGGCACAAGACTTTAGCCAATCTGATGCGTGCGTATACCTGGCCGGGAATGAAAGCTGACTGCATAGAGTATGTTCACAGTTGCAAAGTTTGCTAGAGGAACAAGACCACACCGCGTGCCCCTCTAGGTCTTCTCAGACCCTTGCCTATTCCAGACCAGCCAGGAGACTCAGTCTCCATTGATTTTATGGATGTCGGTGTCAACAGTAGACACGGCCAGAGCCAAGTCATGTTCATAGTTGACCGATTTAGCAAGTATGCTGTTTTTGTTCCCTTGCCTGCAGAGGCACGTACGGACCTAGTTATACGAAAGTTCTTTGATTTTTGGGTTAGTGAGAATGGAGTCCCATTGTCAATACTTAGCGATAGAGATAGTCGCTTCACCAGCCAGAACTGGCAAGAACTCATGGGAGTTTACGGATCTAAGTTGTTGATGTCGTCTGACCGCCACCCAGAGACCAACAGCCAGACCGAGCAAATGAACAAGATCCTACAGGAAGTTGTGCGCATGTACATTAGACCCGACCAGATCAACTGGGACGAGATGTTGCCTAAGGTAGCTAGCGCATACAATAACAGCGTGCATCTGTCCACCTGTCGCACTCCCAATAAGCTGCACAAGTCCTTTAGACCGCGCAGACCATTTGAAGGACTGAATCGGGATCAGATTCACAGGCTACCGCCCGGTACTAGGGAGTTTGTGAAACAACACGAGAAAGAAGTAGCTACCATTGTTGAAAACCTCAGGAAGGCCCATCACAGAATGATAGAACAGGCTAATAAGCACCGTCGCCCCTCGCAGTTTCAGGTAGGCGACCTAGTCTGGGTCAAGTCTAAAGAGTTTGCACCTGAGGAGCACATCTCGCGGAAGTTACTACCTGGATATAGAGGACCGTGGCCGGTTCTAGAAGTCAAGGGCGGAGAGGATGGGCCGTCCTACACAATAGAGATTCCAGCACACCTCCACACTTATCCTGTATTCCATGCCTCAAAGTTGTTGCCGTGTGTCACAAGTCAACAGTTCCGTTCAAGAAGATCCATGATCCCGCCGGATATGGATGAAAGATATGACATTGACGGCATTGTAGATGAAGATGTGTTCAGGACAGGAGGTAGAGGTCATCCACAGAAACAGTATAAGGTCCGGTTTGCTTATCAGGAACCGGAAGACGACCGCTGGTTTACTAGGACAGAACTTCTAGAAACAGCTCCCGACATAGTCAGAGCCTACGAGCGTGACAAGAAGTGTAAAGGTCCTGCCTTGGACTGAAATATTCTCGGAGGACCTCGAATTTAGGACGGCGGGAGTGAAACGGTTTTCACCTCTTTGCAGTAGCAGACGCAGATCCTAGGGTTCGATCCCYAGACCTTGCCCTACCTSTGTRCARTACCTGTGTAGRCCCCGAGAGTTGAACCTGTGACCTGTGTATTTGTAAACAGTTGGTAGGCTGTCATAGGTCCGTAGGTAGCAGGGGTTCGATCTGTAGACCTGTAGAATAGAAGTCTTAGCGAGTTCCAGAAGTCTTACCTGTAGTCCTTCTATAAGGTCAGCAAGTGGGCAAGTGGGCCAGTGGTGAGTCAAGTGGTGGACTAACTGCAGTGCAATTGCAGTACGACCTCGGTAGGTTAGCAGTGAGTCCCCATTCAGTCAGCAGTAAGGTCCAGTCAGTCCCAGTCCGGTTCAGCAAGTACCACAAGGGACTGTGAGCACCATGGGCCGATGGCAAAGGGCAGACCAACGAGTTTCAGAAGTATAAATCAAGAGGCAGCGCCCAGCCATTCATTCATTCCTGCGTGAGCCATGCGGAAGCGCTGCCACAGCGACTTGTGCAAGGAGGTCTG